CATGTCGAGAAATTGGAAGGATTAAAAAACTGAATCGGAGAACGGATGAAGTTGTCAAACTTTTATGTTTGTTGATAAATTACATATAGATCTTGAAGCATCTGTGTTTGACGATTAGTTTGGATAATTGAGATTCTACTGTAGTCTGAAATTAAACGAAGGAGATTTGACATTTAAAATTGACGATGACGTGTGAAATTTGTCCAATTTTTAGTACACTGAAACGAAGTACATTGAAGTACACTGAAATGAAATGAAAGAAACAAACTCAGATCCGAAAGAAACCAAGAAACTTGATCAGCAGTAAATACTACTTACCGTGGAATCATGCGATATCGAAGCAACAGAAGATCACAAGAAAGAGACACCAACGTAGATAATCATTAGGAAAGTAACGGATGGGGTGTGGGTGGTAGGAATGTTTTTTAGACGAAAAAGAACCGTAAAAGCCGTTGCATTCTGCACACCGAACACCGAGAAAATTTTGAATACGACTGCCAATCATCGACCAAGCCAGCCAATAGTGAAGAATAGGGCATTCACCAGAGAGACGATACAAAAACACCGAGTGTCTTTGAAAAGTGCTCTTGACGGAATGTTCATTCAAAAAACACGTTCCGCGTTCCTGGTGTAAGAAGTAAGAGGTAAAAGAAAAAGAAAAAAATAATGTACTGTCGTCGGACGCTCTAAAGAGGCAGCATTCAATTTTCGATTCACGACAACTCATCCCTTATCGGTTGAACGCTTCGCGGTGCTCCGTGAACCGCGGAGTGCTTTTCTTTCCCCAGGAATTCGTTGTCCCTTCGAGGGATTAAGCGGCGCTTTTCATTTCCAGGGACGTTAATCAGCTTTGTCTGCAAATATGTCACTCCGCTGGTGGCGGAGAATGCCCCTAACCCACGGGGTAAGCTCGTCTCCTTGCCGTTGAATCTTTTATACCGCCCTTCCCCCCACCCCCGCCCCTTACAATGCTGTTTACGAAAATGAGGTCGCCTAGCTCAACGACATTCGTTAACGGCGTTCCTGTAAATAATGGATTCCGCTACACACCGACACGTCGTTCCTTTCAGCCGTAAAAAATTATCTGCCACTCTACGTGCAACGTGGATATTATTTAACCGGAAGCAACTATCGACTGAAGGATAATATCGAGAGATGACCATCTCTTTACGCTTGGCGGAAACCTTTCCTAGGTGAATATCATTGCTTGTATTGTCAGTATTAAGAATAAACTAAATTATTGACTTTTTTCTGCAATGTTTCAGCGAAAAGTTGTCTGGTCTTCTCAAGAAAAAGAGAAGAATTTCATGGAGTTTACTCTATACTTTGTCAGTTTTCAGTTCGAATTCTCGTGTATCAAACGATTTTCTTAATAATTTACGTATTCGATATTCATTCAAGTATTTATAAACTATTTATATGACATATGTTTAAAAATATACAAATAAAACATGTATCTGTTAAATAATAAATTTAAAAATAATAGATATAAACATGATAAAAATAAAAGTAGTATATATGCACTATACATTACTTGTCGAAAGGATAAATAGATTCTAGTTACCAATGTAACGTATACATAGATGGCTGTTATGTCATACATAATGAGGGATTACTAGACATATGTATCATTTGTACATCTTTAAACAAAGATTGATATGAATAGATTCTAAATATAAAATATACGAATACACTCTGTAGACTAGTATCGAATGCTGCCTCTTCGATTTCACAGAGAATGTAAACGTACTTGTGAGATAATGCGTACTTGTGTCCCATTGTTAGTATTTATAGGATTTGTTATTAAAATACGAATACCCCCTAATTAATAACGACCATTTCGTCATATTAAATCCAAACGATGTTAGCTCTCTTCTAAAATCAATAGAAAACGTACGTTAGAAGTGGCAGAGGGTCGATAACTTTCCAACTCTGCTACACTTCCTCGCAGAAATGAATCGTTTCGTTCCTCACGCTATGATTGCCGTTTACGTTTCACGAACGTTTAACGAGAAGCATTTCAATTATCGCACCGTTGGCTGTATGGCACACGCGTAACTCGTTTGATTACACCGGTTCCCTTGTCGTGTTCTTTGACAAAGAAAACAGCACCCTTCGTTTCACGTTGATCTAAAGCTAACGAAACAACAATCAATATCCAAGTCGTTTAATCAAACGAACCGTGTCATTCCCCTTAATTATTTGACATCGTGAACTTGGTTGTGTTGCGTCACCAGTAGTAATACTCGATCATTCCAATCGATCGCTGAAGCCGTTACTATTTCTATACGAAATGTATACCACTGATTGGAAGTAATTATAACAGAAAAATTCTCGTCAATAATACTAGAAATAGTTACGTAATGTTTCGTTGGAACGAAATTTTTAAATTTTATTTCTATTATCAATTTCGAGAACAAAATCTATGTGCGTATAACAGTCAAGTGAAACTTGATTTTTAAACTATCAACAAATACGAATAGCTTAACTCTTTAAGAATAGATTTTTTAAACAAGTGTTATTTTCCATGTCGAACAGATGGAACAAAATGAATTATTTATAGATATTTTTAATCGTGATTCTAGTTCTGCATACAAACGAATTCTGTAACTAATAAATTAAAAAATTATTTCAATGTATTGTACATACAACCATCTCTAAAATAGCAAAGTATACGATGGCATATTTGCCACGCCCATTCTTAAAGGGTTGGGACCTAAAACATTTCTCACGTCTTTCATATATCCAAATCGCTGTATATAGTACTGTACGCACATCACTATAATAATAACCATGTTCAATCAAGAACTGATAAAAGAAAAAGTTGTTCTTACATCAAATATGCAGTTTCTAACCAGCAAAACTGAGTTAGTTCAAACAACTTTATTATTCTGGTCCTACGTATCCCCACATCGTGAATAATTAGTGACATGACTGTTCTACTGAACTACCCTAATTTACAAGCAAAAAACTCTACAAGTATAGTATCCAAAAAGTGGAATTTCTTTTAAAAAAATAATTTAGCAACATAATAGTTATAACAATAAAAATTACTATTAGAATGGAAGTAACAGAACGGGACTTTAAAAGATTTTTAGAGTTGTGCTAGTAGAAAATTCACCAAAATGAATTAAATTATAATCGACAGATTAGAAGCTGACTAATAAGGAATAGGTAAAGCGAACAAAAGATGAAATCTTTACTCAACAATGCCACTATTATTATTTTATACTCTTATTGTATTTTCTATGTAAATATTATACTGTATTGCCTACAAATAGGATTACCAAAGAAAATTTTGTTGTTTTCACTATGTGTATATTTGAATAATTAGTTTAAGAAGTCTCTACTAGCGTTTTGGATTCACAAAAATTTCGTTGAAATTTAAGATCATCTGTTTACTGAGGAATGTCTTATTTATAAAAGTGATGATACGAGCGATAAAGAGAGTTATTGCTTCTGTAAAAATAGGGCAACGTATGTTCCCAAGTAACATGATATCGAAATTTCATTTATCAAGAACGAACCCTTGAAGACAAAATTCGCTTTATACTTTCTACTTATTTTCGTCCTAGAAATCACGTGTTTCGTGATTCTTGCAAATTATTATTATATTATTAAATATTATTATAACAAAATGCTAAAAATAATATTAAAGTAGATTCAGACTAACAGTGCTAATGTAAATGTAACAATTTCTATGACGTATGTTGAATAAAACAATAAATATAGATTTTCAAAAAATATGATGTAATTGGTTCAGTTGTATTTTTCATTGTAAGTGTTCTGCAAATATGTCTGTACCACTCCACGTCAAATCGAAACGGACAATTGCTTTCCTCGATCTAAAGCCAGCATATTTTACCGAATATCTATGGTAATAAAGAACAAACAAACATCTCGACAATTATTATTGTTTCAGTTACTTCGACAATGAATTCCCATAAAATTCGAGTCTCTGAACCAGAACAGTATACAAGATATTAATGGGTCGACGAGGCACGGTTTCGCTCACAATATGCAAGCTCTATTTCAAGCTATAGTCGAGACAAAATCAACACCGCTCAAGGCATTTCCGTGACTATGAATCATACCAGCAGTGACTCCTTCATTTACTCCACGCTACCTAGCCTCCCTGTTCTAGAGACCAAGAGCGTGTGCCTGGAGGTTATGCGCGAAAAGACAAGAGTACGGTGAGGGTACACTCTAGGGTGGAAGTAGGCAGTGTGGTGGGGAGACCTCGTAAGTGGCCTTGATCGACCAGTTGATTTTGCTCAAACTTTAATACAGAAACTCCTCGATGAAAATCGCGAAATCGAGCTCGTTGCCTTTCATTGGGCAGACGAGTTTATTCAAGAAATCGACCTTTTTTATTTATACAGCGCGTCAGCAACGCCGATCGACGTATTGTTTGCTCTGAATAAATACGAGACAACAAAAAATTGTTGTGTTTGTTTTCAATCTGTCTAAAGTGAGATCTATTTTTCGATTTTGATTGTTTGTATTTTCTACGGATTAAATACGGAAAAATATCCTTTTACCAATAATAGATATTACCAAGTTGCATAATGCAAATAACGAGAAACACAAGTCAAATTTGTGTTTAATTATCTGAAACTATAATTTTTTTTTTAAATCTCTGGATAACCATGAAAATAAAATAATCCAATCTCGAGACTTTCATCGAGGTAACGTTTCAGGCTTTTAACGAAGGCCCTCAGTATCTTTCGCTGGCAGCCAGCTGGGAGCTAAACGAATACCCTTTTGGACCACCAAACAATCGGTGATTATGGCATCTTACGCGGCTTGACGTAGAGTGGCTCCTAGACACGGCCGAGGGAGGAAAGAACGGGTGAAACTAGGCACGAAAAAAAGCATTGAAGAGAGCTAACGCCGTATCGTGTCCCCTCGAGAATGGATAGTATAGAGTACGTTCTGTGGAACGGCTGTACACGCAGAGAAAACATGAACGAATGAGAAAAAGGTTGGTGAGAACATACCGACGCCGTTTGCCTGCGACGACTGAAGTTGCACGGCGACGCTGAAGCCGCGTAGCTTCACCGGTGCGGAATTTTCCTTGCCCGCCAGGAGGGCGCATTGCGGCTTTAGATCACGATGAATTATGTCGTTCTCGTGGCAGTAGCGCAACGCCTCCAGGATCTGTCGCATGTAATGGCTGGAAAACGAAAGGGAGCGTTACACTCGGATACCAAGCGGGATGGAAAAGTTGTGAAACGGACGCGTATCGTTTTTCAACGCTTCGTGGAAGAAAAGTCTCGGAGTCTTGTTGCAGCGTAAGACGCGGCAGGAGTAACGCGGGGCCGTCGTATTGATTTCGCGTACTGATGTTTTTCAATTGAACGAATAAATGTTTCGTTGGGAGTAAAGTGAATGAAGCGATCTTAGGTAATAAATTAGTAATGAGTAAAATTGCATGTACCGTTCCTTGACTTTTGATATCTAGATGATATGTCTTTTGAAAGAGCATCTTGTGGGGCACAAACTATACATTGTACTCTTTTAATCAAATTAAAAGTGAATTTCACATTTAAATTCTTAAAGAACGAATCATCTGTGTCCCACAGTCATATAAATAAGTGACTTAATAACAGTGCTACGAGAACCATGGTAATCGCTTTTTAACCGACTTCGAAAAGGAGGAGGTTATTAATATATTTAGTGGCACCACTATTAACTTCATCTCTTGTTGTCCTGTATAAATGTTTTTGTGAAAAATTGTGTAATTAAAGTGGTGTAATATAAATTCCGCGGGAACAGTTATTTCGGAGCTTGTATTAGAAAAAGTTTTATAAAATAAATAAAACTACCACCGTATTTATCCTAGATATTACTTTCGTTCCATGACATAGAAAAATAATGAATAATTTAATATTTTTAATTTTGTAATATACTAAAAGTTACAGAATTTCCATAAAATAGTATGCACTATTTAATATACACAACATTGTAAATACTATGTTTATAATTACTCCTATTTTTGTATGGCATAAATATGCTGATTTACATGCTTCTGTATTGCTCCATTTAATATTGCATATGTATACGCAAAAGCAATGAACGAGAAACACTGCCTTATCAGAATGAACGTTCCCACCCGATTCACTTCTCTCGATTTTCTATGCCCTTCTCTCCATCCCTCCTGTTATTTGTGGAATTAATTGGTTTGCTCCACAGCCCGCGTTTCTCCTAAAATACACTTCATCCGCGAACTATTTCACGTTTATCAGGCCGAAAATCATCATTTGTAAAAGAACAACTCTCAATCTTCAAGAAACTGTATTATCGCACAAAGATTTTGAGCGCAAGTAATTTACGGATCTCTCGAACTGTAGTGTTCAATAATATATTTCGAGGAGGAGAAGATCGATTCCGAACACTTGGGTAACGCCCAATTGTAAGCTGTCCACGAAACTAGTAGATATGTTCGTACCCACTTATTCGAGTATTCTAAAAATGGACAAAATTTTATTCAAACAAAGATAGAAAACACCGTGTAGACATTTGTTTGTAACGTTTATTCTACTGAAAGGTTATTCGGAGAAAGCTTTGTAATCGTTCAACGTGAAATATAATTTAATTTTAGTAAGTAATATAAATTGTAATCAATAGATACCTGTAGTCTATAATAAAATAGATAAAAGTACATCGAAAGAGGAGACCTTTATAATTTCAGATAGTAATTAATATTAAATAAATAAGTATTCAAAGCTGTGTATCTTTTATTTATTATTCGTTATTTTATTTCGGATAAATGGGAAATAATGACAAGGATCGTATCGTCGATGAATAGAGACAAATGCTACGATTGACTCAATGTTTATAAATTATTCTTCCTGACCTTAATTCGATGTTTTAAGTACCCAATTTCAAATGCGTATAAATATATCCTAAAATATTCTGGTTTTTAAACACAAGACCAAAAAAGTCTGATCCGTTTCCGATCTGTTCGCTACAAGTGTTTCAGATAGCTGCGAGCAATGATCTAAACTTGCACCGACCATGAAGAGAGCAACACGCTTCACGGACAATTTTGGACATGACGTGCGCTCAAGTTGTCCGTCATATGGTCGACTAATTTACTGCTATTCAACACGGGCGAATTTGTAAACAGGAGACGGAAATCTCTGTGAGGAAATGTCGCTTCCTTTCATAACCGCAGTAATTAGAGCAAACATGCGTACTGTTCATTGTAAATAGAAGAATATGTAAAGACGTCACTAGCCGTTGTCTATTTACAAACCAGCTATCATTCTCATTATTATTCCGGAATTTTAATAAAGACTCCCAATAATTAATAACACCTTTAAACAGTATAATGTTAACTATGACAATAAAAACAATAAGTTTAATGAAAATCAATGGAAAAAAAATTAAATTCATTACTTGAAAGAAATTACATAAAATAACTATTTTCGTGGATAAGGAAGATCTACATAATGTACAAGAAAAAGTTGTCACCGACGACCTGGAAATATGCAAATTGTTAATTCCATGTTCTGAGGCAACAATAGTCATATTCAAAATGGAGACCGCTGGACCTTAGAATCTAGGTTAACGATTCTTTCGAAAGTTTGGAGAGCCGTGTCGTTTCAAAGTACACGTAAAATAGAAGAATGAAGTTCTGGTGCATGGAATAATTTTATACACACAATGCATACATTCTCTTACCTGGCAACCGCCTCACTGTACACGAATCCAGCAGTCGCTCTTCGGACAACCTCGAAGCATAAATCAGAGCCATCCATACTGGAACAGAAGCGTCGGCATTAACATACAATTTACAAAGTACAACGATTTACGCTAACATTCGAATAACAAAATCTCCATAATGAGATACGTCAGCAGACGTACGCAACACTTTCCGATTCGAAAACTGAGAATACGACGTATTTATTTCTCGATCGCGTTGTATATTAAGATTGAGACGATCAAATGTAAAAAGTATTGTTTACACGAATACAACTAAATAATCCATAATAGCACAAGCATAGTTAAACTGTTTCATTAATAAATGTCAATGAATGGTTTTAAATTTAGGATTGGATTCTTTAAGTTCTGAAATTGTTGTAAATTTAATACCATGTCTTCTTGTTAATAAGAATAATTCACATTTTTATGTCAAAAATGTTCGACCTTTTCATGCTCAAGGAATTTCTTACATGAAAATAGGTAATAGAAATGATAGATATAAATTACATAAAAAATAATAAATGAACTAATGCAGAACTTATTAGATGTTTGCACCAGCAGACTCTAGTATTTTTGTTTTACAAGGTGTCCTTGAAGAATGGACACATAGAGAATAAGGAGTGGCCATAGTTATTTTATGGAAGAAAATTAACTGTAGATAGTGACATTTACTACATGTTCAGACTATAGGGACACCCTGTAGAGCTTGTGTTCTGCTGACAGTGCTGACCCATGTAACGCTCTGTGCAATAGCCTAATACTCTTAGGCTCTTAGGGGACACTGTCCCAGAGCATGTAATAAATGCCTTACCTATCTATCTACCTATCGATATTTCAGAGATACTGTGCGGTTACCGGTTGGCACGAAGACGTGACATACAGAATAACTAAAATATATGTGATGGGGTAACTCGCCAGTGGCCTTGAGCAACCAGTTGATCTTTACCTAACTATAGCGCCATGTGCGATTTTACCACAGGAAACGAACAAATCGAACGTAATAAATTACTCGGTGCTTACAAATTCGTGTAGGAAATGAGAAAATCAACAAAAAGTGACTTGTTCAACTTTCACTCGATGTAGTTTCCTTAGCGAATTGACAATAATACCCGCCCGTGTTGTCATTCGAGAAATTAATGTTTTCCAACTCAACGACTCGCATGGATGATTAAGTAACTAGCAACGATTGTAAAGTGACTCAATGCTGCAGAACGTTCAGTGAACTGCTTATAATTGAATCGAGGATAATTGAATCGAAGATAATTAAATACATTCACAGCGAAGCGAAATTTGTATTCAGGAAGTGGCTGCAATGATCGAGATAGACAATCTGTACTATGTACATAAACACCTAATTCACTACCTAATTCAATGTACCATAACTATATTAATTTCACGAATTTACCAATATAATTTCATAGACACAATTCAGATACCCTATGTTTTCAGAGAAGGTAAAAATATAGATAGCGATTCGAACTGTTATTGGGTGCACAATTATCAGTGCTAAATATTTTCTTTTCATCATTGAGAACTAGGAAACCCAAGTACCAAAATGCCCATAATGAAAGCGATTAGAAATCATGGAATGGCATTGTTGACTAGTAAAATAAAATACATTCGATTTGTTTAAACTTCTAAAATGAATGAACTCCTTTAATATCCGTATGAAATTCCTGTGACGTAAACTTTCACGGGCGGTATGGCAGTTCAAGAATCTGAAATTGTTCATCATACGTCTGTACCGGATGTTATCATCTAGAGACACTGCCTGCTTTTAGATTTATGTCAGTCAAAACGCGCGACTGATTCACACTGTACCGCAGGATTACTTTGCAGACACCAGACGTCCATTTACGTAAACAAAAGTGACGAAAAACTTCTAAAAATAGGAGACGTGTTAATGAATTAAATATAGTAAATCAAATTTCTTTTGCGCATTGCGCGTTTGTAGTGAAAGGTGTGTGACTGAAAGTGTATTCTTTTCGCACACTCCTTTAATTTATTTACAATTTGGAATACTTCAATTATCTGTATACTACGAAGATAAAAAGTATGTTTTAACCTGCTCTTAAATGACATTCTACATTAATTTAAATAAAATGATAAAATCAATGCTTGTTTCGTTAATATTCGTGACACCTTAAGAATTTTATGTCACTATATTGTGAATATTAATATCTCTGTCTTATTTCAGAATAGATACATCTGAAGACACTTCATTGAAATTAAGTCTAAAGTTTGCCGTCCTTTTCTAGCTGTTCCAACATCATTTAACGAAGGATCAGCTGCCGGTTCGTCTTTCCTTTCCGCTTTCATTCCTTTTACTGTCTCGGCTACAACTATACTATTCCTATTTCGCTATTTCGAAAGTTTACTCTACTCTTCTTCGCGTGAAATGAAACGTTTCAAACGTTCAAAGACCGAACGAACATCTTACACAATTTCTCTGAAATACTTGGACTTACTTGTGTTGACAAATAACTGAGACGATACTCGATTCGTAATGAAAAATAAAACATCAGGGGTTGAAAGTCATAATGCTACAAATAAAACATAAAATAAAAAGAAGTGAGCTCAAACTTTTATTTTTATTTATTTATAATCATTATGACTCTCAACCCCTCATAAGTGGAGTGAACTTTTTTGAATTGACGTGTGTAGCATGATATTTTTAAATTAGTTGTTATATTTCCAGCAATATTTATTTACAAATGTGTTGAATACTTGTGGTACTATGGAATGATACTTCTCATTGCGTTTTATAGTGTTTCTAAATTTATGGAAAATTTTTAAAAACGGATCAGAAAGGGTTGTTATGTTCGTTTCGAATTTCACGCAAGTCTCAGTGGCCTGTAAAGTGAAATAAAATAACTTGATATCGCTATACTTACTATTCGAATACCATGTACAGCATACCCTCCGAACTGTAGGTCTCGAGCAACTCTACAATGTGGGGATGTTTCAACATGTGGCATATTGTGGCCTCGCGCTTCAAATCTGCAGCAATCGTATGGTTATGAAGCTTTATTTCTGTTGTAACAGTGGCTCGTACATTTTTAAACAGAATTTATGAGAAGCTATAACATGAGCAATGAAGTCGCAGACGATAAGAATCCAAGATACGAAATATTAGACATCTTTATGTTCTGAGGAAAATATTTATTTTAAAATCCAGTTATTGTCACTGATTTCATCTACTGATTCATCTATTTCATCACTGATTCATATATCAATATAAGTGTGTTTTAATCGTCCCCATTACTGTCAGAAATATTTCAAACAAAATGGTATAAGCTAATTTTAAATAAAATCTACGAGAAAATGTGGAATACATTGAATTTCAAATTTATCAGATTTAATATTGAATGGAAGTCCTACGTCGACGATTGGAATTTGTCGTGTCCACACACATGGAAAGATTAAATGAACTGAACTGGTGCACGTGAAATAAGCACGAATACAAAAATATGTCACACGAATTTCCTCGAAGCAGACAATCACGGAATTTTATCAATTTTATGACGTACGAGCACTTTTTGAAATTACGTTCCAACAATGACGCATTTTCATAGTATTATTAACCCTTAACGCGACGCATCTCCTTTTGATTTATTAATAGAAAAATGCATCTCTTAGACGCCTAGGTATGTAAAATGCAATATTTATTATTAGACATGCAAAAATACACACTACACACAGTGCACGCCTACGAAGTAGTCTGACAATAATTTTTTCACTATAAGAAAACGGCATACTACTTCTCGAAAAACTTAATATACCGGAATTCACATTGCTAATTGTCTTTGTCTTTCTAAATTTGTTCATGAAATGCAATCGCAGCCATACTTTTACATACGAATATTTTATTTTAGTTGTCTGAATGTAAAGAATAACAATAAAATGTACGAAATATAAATGCAAGGTCGATTTATAATTTATAATAATAATGACACGTAGGGAAAGTACTTGACACTAAAAGTTATTTACCCATAAAGGTTGGGGTTGCACGAACTGAAGCATGTCTAATAAATAATTTTTTTAATTTTGCAATTTTTTCATTTTTTATGGTAGTTAAACACCACTTATAGTTATTTTTATTGTACAATCAAGACGCTTTTAGTTAAATGAAAAACCAAGAAGAGCACACAACAAGAGTTTAAATAATTGGATAATATACAATTCTGAAAGTTCAACACAATCCACTGTTGAGAAGAGAAAATTGTAGATAAGATCTTTGCAATTTAGATTAAAATTTTAGAAATACACATGGATAGACAATTTTTATTTTAATTTTTATTTCTTTATTTCTATATAATTTTTATTTCGGTTACTAATTTATTGCAGTTTCTAATTTTACATTATACTCTGAAATAATATTCTTCACATATTTCTACATTTAGCGTAGACTGGTTTTACATCTATAGATATATTTTATGGGTTAAAATGCGTAGGCGATAAGGGTGGATGATTCCAGCATCAGCGACAAACGTTATAAAAAAAATAGAAAATTAAAATGCTTACTACTGGTATGCACAGAACTTTTAGCAAAGTCTATTAAAATTTTGACTATTAAAATGTATTGGATATCAATAATAATATTGAGCAAAAATTACTTTCAACGGTCTTACATCTATATAATTCTTTACAGTAAATCACAGTATTCATATCGACAACAATATATTGTTAGGAAACTAATATTATCTTCTTCTTATCATCAACAAGCTTTCCCTTCATCTGACAATGCTACAAGACAAGAAAAATAATCATCACATTATTATTGTAGTTACTAAAACAAACTTTCCCAATTCGAACATCTCATTTTCAAACACCTCTTCCCACAAATTAAACACATGCAACAAGGAAGCCCAATTTTCCCAGTAAGCTGTAACAGCGATCCAAGTTAGTTGAACGTAAGAGGTACATCAATCAATTATATTAAGCCTCAAGAAACTTCTGTAGACGTACTAAGCCTTCACACGTGCTCCAATTTATATTGGGTCGAACGAAACGTCCGTGTCGATTTCCAGGTTGAACGAAAAGGTGATTTTTAAATTTAGAAATAATTCTCTTCAGCAACGTGTGCCCCATTTTTATCGATGACCTTTCGTCATCTTTGACGCTACTTTATATTTCAATCTTTGTAGAACTTTCCACTTTGCTGGAAGAAAAGCTGTCGAAGATGGGTTTCGCAAGCTTTCAGGTAAATGAAGTTCCTGCCGTTAAGAGAATTTCACGGGGACTAGAATAAATGGTAATCGAAAGGTACTAGGTCTGGTGGATATGGGACATCGCAGTTAAGAGTGAATTTTTAAGTTACCAAAGATATATCAGCTCTTGCGCTATCCTGGTGAACGAAATGGAACGTTATGGCTTTCCGATTGGCCAATTTTAGGTCCTTCTAGTCAATTGTTGTCTTCAAGCGGTCCAGTTGGGAATAGTACCACCAAGTTTAAGTAACTAATTTTATTGTATTTTTTTTGTTAGGGACGAAGTTGTTAATACTATATCTTTTTGTAGACATTTAATTTAATTAACTAAATTCCTTTTCTTGAAAATATTGTTTGTTAATCGTTGGATTTCGTTCCACTTCTTTATTTGTTTTTTTATTTCTTTATAGTACTTTTCGTTCAACCCAATGCTATCAAGATTCGATCTCATCACCGACTAATATAAACAGAATTCCATATACTTCATTCGTCACCGAACGTCCTCGATAACAACTGTAGAATTCACAGTAAGTCCTCGAATTACAGGATTATACCGCCAATCATGTCCATGCGTGCGTATATCGAGTGCATTATGCTAGAAGTGACTTCAACCAGTCCATAAGCTTATTACGTTCATCTAGTACGATGTTAGTTTCCATTAGAGGAGTGTAAATTTGGTAAATTTAACAAAAATTTCATTCTTCTAATTTACATAAAAGAAAATAACAAATACATTAAAATAATTTCTCTGAAATGCTTTTTCAATTCGTGAAACACTCTCTTTATCCAAAATTGAGTGGAATAGCTTTCTGGTATGATACCGTGTGCTTCGAGGACTCCCCATGTCCATTTTCGAAGCCCCTAGGTATGCCAGATTAAGATCCACGGAATACATTGGCGACAACGAAACCAATTCCCATTGAAGCGCACAATGAGCAGCTCGAAGGCTTGTAAGTACGCGTACGTCGTAAAAGAGAATATGGGAACACGGGAGCAAGACACAGGGAATGTGCTATATGCTTCGCAGCGGGCGGCGGAAATTAATGGCGGAACACACCGAGATGTACGAGGAATTCTGGCTCCCCTTGGGACTCACCGTTTGTACTTAGACCAGGACTGGAGGTGAACTTTGCAACGTCGACTATTTTTACGGCGAACGTCTGCCCCGTCTGCCGATGAATGCATTTCCGAACAACACTGAATGGTCCCCTGAAACAAAACGGAAAGAAACGGGCTGACAAAATAATCACGCGAGTCACCACTGTTCGCATCATTCATGCCCCATTATGTCAGCCATAAACGCGATAGCTGGCTTAGCTCGGAAAGCCGGCGACTGAGCCCTATTAAACCCGATAACGGGCTGGGTAATTCGTCGAACGTTGATCACGCGCGCATTCATCGAATTCGTGACAACCAGCAATGCAACAAATGATCTCTGTGGTCATCGATCGGCCACGCATGCTCCCGATTCGATCCAACTGATTTACGAGATAGTTGGACGTTGAAAATTTATAATGGGGAGAATCGGGCTGATATTGGTCGGGTGACGAGTACCGAGGGAATTGGGGATGGACGAAAGGCACGGGAGCGTGAAGAAGGTAGAAGTGCGGAGGTTAAATTATATTGACCACGGTGTGTAATGCGAATAGTGTGATGCGAAATATAAAATCGCGGAAGTCTATGTGTTACTGAAGGTCGATGGTCGAAGGAAAGCTGATATCTTCATTGATATTAAAAAAGCATCCTGTATTTTTTAACGTGTTAACAGATTCACTGTTCACTTCTCCTTTGAAAGCGCTTTGAAGTCAAATTAAAGTCTGATGTACCTGTTAATGATCAGATTGGTCTTTTTGAACAACATTCTGATACATTATACCGCGCAGGTCAGTAGGGCAAAAGGGTTGGCGATGACACAATAAAGTCGCGAAAACGAACTCAAGATGGGTCCTTCTAGATAGTTAATCGAATATACTTTGATGCTTTATAGTGCATCTATCGTTACATGGAAAATCAAAGGCATTTAACGTTACACGTTATAGAAAGTGAGAAATTTTCAGGAATAGAAGTGGCTTTCTGAAACCTTCAGGGTAATTATAAATAATCTAATTCAGTCAAGCTAATGACAATTATTTCTAACACCATATAGTCTCATAACCTGAACTAGAATTGCTCATAATTGATTTAAATTAATATGCTATTGTTTTCTTTTGTTTTCTATTGTTTGCAGAAAAATTCATTATTATTCAATTATAAATTATGTATTAACATTAGTATATTTCTATTGCAAAATGTTAGTCAATTATCACGACAATTTGTGTTCTTAAACTACAGATAAAACTACACATACGTATTTTCTGAAATTTTGATTTTTGCATTATAATGTGATATTGGCATATTTGGAACTGTATTGCCAATCTTGTCAAAATCTCGTCGAAATCGAGATCGAGATCATATATTCTAAATTATTGAAAATTCAAGATCAAGATCGAGATCGTAGAAATCTCGTCTCGTCTCGCGCACATCACTACGTATAGGTGGTCAAAGAGTTTTTTCTACAGCTGACGAGATAAGATGACCAGTAAATGGGTTTTGCCTAACATACATCGGTAGATCTTCCGACGCTATCAACATACTTCGTCGTCTAATGCCTTCTAAGAAGATATGAAGAATTAATTCGATCAAAGGGATTTTGTATGCCTATTTATTACTTATTTCCATAAACGAAAGATTCTTTAAGGCAGCTCGAGTACTTAATCACGCTATAAAGGGACTAGAAGGATAGTCTCGAGAATTCATGCATAAACAAAGTTCTTGCACAGCTCAAAGCCTTCACTCTTTTGCCTTCTTTCCTCGATGCTGAACGAATTATGGAAAACATCGTTTGCTGTCTTTTTCGGTGTTAAAAGGTCTTTCATGAGACAACCTATAACCTCGAGAAGAGTCGGTAAGGCGGGTTGCTCGCCAACATGGCCTACTTCTTAAAAGAAAATATCGACAGCTCGTTGCTGTATGCTTTTAAAAATGGTAAATTACTCGAGGATATCCTCAGTCTTGCTATCATCGTAATTCCATTTCGAATTTCAGAATGTAATATCATATGTTCAATTATAAAATTCAAAACACCCTCGTATCTGTATGAAAGATCAAATTAAACAGCAATGTCTTTTGTTTGAAATATTTTTCATAGAACGAACAGTTTACGAGTTATTTAAGGCCGACAAGTTAGGTGAATCACCCTGTATGTCACCCTTGATGTCAAACAACTTTTGTTTAACTAATTTTTTCACACTACAACAAGCTTACAAGTATTTTAATGTCACCTACTTATACGAATCATTATACTGTTCTTCGTAAACACAGTTTCACTACCCCATTTAACTATACCTAGGGTGTTAAGTGATCGATATAAAATTTCAAAGTCTAAATCGAAATAATTTTCTACGTAGTCAAATCTTTCCCAAAGAATTCAGTGATAACCATTAGTGACGCTGTTACACAAACCCTTAAGCACTAGGATTCTATAGTTTGCCTGGGAGTCTGGAGGGGAGAGATAGGATCAAGTTCAAGTAGGTTAGACTCGAACCTTCGAATCCTTCAGTACTTTCCGAAGTGTGTATTTATAGGTATTCCGAAGCTAGACAGAATCAAATCTCTCAGAAGTGGTAGCACTGGAACACTGAAAGTCACAAGAGGTAGTCAAGAAGTACTTCACTGGAGTTCTCCAGTCGAGACCGAAGATTATAGTATGTAGTTGTAGATAGTTCATCATCGCTGCAACATGTGCAAGCTGTCAAGTATACGCCTAGTTTTCAATTTTATGAAAAAATGCGATTATCTTTGTACATGCCCGAAAAGAAAATATTTTCGAAGGAAATGTTATTAATAAAGGACGATGCTGATTCGTAAGCATTGCCTGATCAGGAAACCGCGTTTAAATTATAGACTCCCTTTCCCTGTTACCTACACGTAACCTCATCCTTGTCTTGGAAGAAAAAGTAGAAGGTTTGGGTAGTGTCAAGCTGGTGTCTTAAAAGCAGTATGATTTTAACACTTGAGACACGCAGACTTCAACTGTGGCAACCAACGCAATCTAAGTATTTCTTGTTCTTTCTGCGACTGCTCGTTGTGAACATTCTCAGCATTCATTCTTGGAATTTTTTTACTAGAACTTTACATTTCGATATTTTTAGGACTTCCTTCTTTCAACTATTAAGTATGAAGCGTTTCCGCGATGGTCTATATCTAAAAGATAGAAAAAATCATGTCTTGGTCTCAAGAGAACCAAGATAAACTTCATCATCTTCCCTCGCCAAGTCACCTAAATGAAATATCATAAAACCATTACGAGGACGTTTAGAAAATAAATTTAGAAGCAGATCTCCTTGTCCAACATCAATTTACGCTTCTTATCCTATTCTTCTATCAAAACGCTTCACAAATGCTTTGAATACTATTGAATAGAAGCTGTATTAAAGATAAATAATGTATATGTACTTGGGCAGACAAAAAGCTTCAGGATCGTTATCATACACTTTCAATTACTATTTATAGGTGTTATTCATCAGTTCAATGGTTGCATTTGTCATCTGCTAAATAATCGTTTCGACGAAGTTCGTGGGACCCGACAGAGGTGCTTCCTTTGTTGAAAACTCGCCAGCGTAAGAAATACCGCGTTAACTGTTCCGTTTTCTTTACGTGTCGAAGAAAAACGAAACCACGAAGGTGCGAGAAAAACTTTCCTACGTGTGCGTTGCCAGGGCGAATACAAGCCACCCAAGGAAAACTTCAACACCAATGGAAACTTCCATGCCATTGTGTGAAACGATCGGCACATTTTACAAATTTAATATTTCTCCACATGTTCCCGTGCTCTAAGCTTATTTTAACTCGCTGTATGTCGTCGGTATGAAAGATGAAGCCTAGAAAAGAACTTTCCTTGCGATAATATTACAAATTTCAATGACTATTTAAACTAGAAAGATGGTAACAATCGTAATTAATGCTTTTCAAATTGAAGGACTTTGATTGTGCAATACACAAGGATGTTCTCGCAAAACGACAGAGATAAATATCGTACACAAAAGTAGTTGCAAAGAGAACGATGAACCTGATGTAATTAGATATCACGAATTTACCTACGAATGTGGAAACGGCATCCGGTGACAGAATGCTACGTTAATGTTGTTTTGCGTCGACATTAGTCTAGGAAACAGGAGAAATAAGAAATTGAACGTGATAAATGAAATTATTAGAGAAACTCGGGAATAAACAACGCCATCGACACACACCCACCCGATTTTCGGGATTCGTTTAAGCTGGTAACATAATGCCCCTAGCTCTAGTAGAGGATTATCTTCTTAAAACTTCTTGATAGCTGTTGCAAATATGTCCGATAGGTATTTTCTACCAATTGACAAACTCAGAATTACATGTTATGGTCAAATGTTAAATTTCTAAAACTTAATTAATCAAATAGGACGATAATTTAAGGAGATCCTTCTGTTTAATATTAATATTTCATAGTCACATTTAAAAATAATCAGGCTTATGTTTCACACGAACATTTGAAATAATAATACAATTTCAGTTTATAATCAGTGTTAAGACTATTTCGACTATGCAGAAGGAAATATAAAACCTGATATTAAATGTCTGATTGAATACCAGTTCCAGGTTTTCAACGAAATTGTATTGAAAGACTTAACGAAACGCTCGAATTGTGAATCGAATGGTACGAATGCCACGCGTACAAACAGAAGAAGTTGTCGTGGAAATTTCTTAGAAAATTAAGAGAAACCTCCCAGTCACATCGGTCCGCCGAGCGTCGCGGTCGGGAAGTTTCCTAAGTCCCTAGGCTCTCCAGTCACATTTGAGCAAAAACTTTCCCCTAGAAACACGAAAGAAGCAAACTTTCATGGCAAAAAGAGTAAAAGTGGGTTCAACTCAGATCCATTAAGTAAATTACGGAAACCATATTTGGCCGCTTGTACCTAGCAAGGGTACTGCTGAACAGACCACTCGAGCGTACCTCGAGCACGTCGCTTTATTTATTCCACCTACTGTGAATCTGGAATATTTTCCTGGGAAAGTTGGCTGAATTCTCCAATCTTGGCGAAATCTTCTTTAAAACGTGCCATAAACCATGGATGCGATGATGACTATCTCGCAAATAACCCAATCCTTCTCGGCATCTATACAAATTCAAACAC